CTCTCTCTCTCTCTCTCTCTCTCTCTCTCTCTCTCTCGCTCTCGCTGTGTATGGGACAGCATCTCTCGTGGCATCTCTCTTCCAACGTCAGTCTGGAGAAGAGGGATGCTGTAAGTGCTGCCACTTGTCGGACTATCAGATGAAAATTAAGGAAGTGGATATTTATACGGCATGCCGTCAAAATATCGCTACCCTAAAATTAACTTGGTTTTTTCTTTTTCTTTCTCTTTTCTTTTTTTTTGTGAGTGTTGTTTCTTTTTAGTGCTTTTTTCCTCTTTTTTCATTCTTTTCTTCTCTCTATCTTCTCTCTGTCTCTGATCGTTCTGTCTGTCTGTCTGTCTGTCTGTCTGTCTGTCTGTCTGTCTGTCTGTCTGTCTGTCTGTCTGTCTGTCTGTCTGTCTCTTTCTCTTTCTCGTTCTCTCTCCCTCTCTCTCTATCTCTCTCTCTCTCACTCTCTCACTCTCTTTTGCTGTTTCTCGTTATTCTTTCTATGTTTATGGACATCTTTATTTTTTTCTTTCGTTTATTGTTTTTTCCCCCTATATTTATTTCCTCTTTCATTCTTGTCTTAACTCTGTAATTTTGGCCATCCTTTCTTTTTGCTGTGTTTCTGTTCTTCTCTTTCTTTTTTTCCTTTCAGTTTTCTTGGTCCTTATTTCTTCTATTTACAACAATTAGAACAAACATGCAACTATTACCGAATGGCATCATGCAGAAGAGTTAACGCTCAGATGCTACTGGATTGCTAACAACAACAACAACAACAACATTTCTTCCATTTTTCTGGGACCCTATCCTTTGGATAATTTTGTCTCTTAATCAGTTACATACTTTAACTGTTGGTTGGTTGGTGGGTGCTTTGGTGTGGTTTGCTTCTTCTTTCCTCTCAAACACCTATCGTGCTTTTCTCTCCTCCTTCTTTTTTGTGTTTGTTACTCTCTTGTAACACCTCTAGTCTTCGGCACTTATATGACCTTATTGTGTTGCTTTACTTTACTTTTATCCGCCGCTTATACCTATTTGGGTATCGCGGGAAGAAAGAAACGTCTCTCTGCCACCAGCCAGAGAGCTTGGGTCAGGGGGATGCCGTGAGTTGTTAATATGTCCCTTACTTCATCTGTCCAGGTCTTTCTCGGTCGCTCTCTAGCCTTGTTGCCATCGAATTTTTGGATGTAGGCACGTTGTGGTGGGTGGTGTGTTGGTTATCGCATGAGATGTAAAACGCTTGCTAAAACTAAAACACTTTGACTATTTGTTTATATTTCACCCCTCAGAACGGCTGCACGTTCCTCATGGTGGCCAGTGAGCAAGGAGCCGTGAACATTGTGAGGGAGCTGCTCCAGGCAGGGGTGGACCCGACTGCTGTGGACAATGTTAGTTGAACACTTTTTTATCTTATGTCGTATGTGCATGTTAAATACCTTTTTATCTTATGTTATGTGTGCATGTTAAATACCTTTTTATCTTATGTTATGTGTGCATGTTAAATACCTTTTTATCTTATGTCATATGTGCATGTTAAATACCTTTTTATCTTATGTTATATGTGCATAATATCATGTGGGAGAGAGATTGATGGATGCTCTAGTGTGGTTTGCTCCTTTTTTCCTGTCAAACTTTTGGCATCCTTATCTCTTCTTCTTTTGTTGTTGTCTGTTACTCTGTTGTAACACCACCTAGCATTTGTATGTCCTGTGTTACGAGTGTTGTAAAGCTTTTACAAAAACATAATATGCATGTGAGTGTATGCATATATATTGTTGTATATAATATTATCACCAAGCAGTTCAAATGTTCTAAGCCCAGAAAACATTTTTCGGGAGAGAAAGAAAACCCTGTTTGTTCTTTTTAACAATTATACATGCATAATACATTTTTTTCTTTTTTTTATCTTCAATATTTAGAATTTGAATTTCGACAAAATATTGTTTTAGCACATGCAACCGATACCACAGAATAAATAACTGCAATAAAAAATGTTTAAAATTTTGGGCTTAATAGCCTACATCTGAATGGCTGGCCGGTGAAATGTATTTCAGCAGGTCCTGCTTTTTTTGTTCATTTTTTTTTCAAAGATATTGATTAAATATCTGTCTGTTATTTCACTTTTTTCAAGCCATAATTTCCATTACCTAAATATACTATATATATTCAGAATTTTTGACACAACATTCTTTATATATCATTCGTAGAGCTACTGAAATGGATTTAGAATATGACCTCCCAACCCCATTACTGCAGAACAGTGTTGGTTTTTTTTTCTTTCTCTTACAAATATAGAAATGCTTTAAGTCCAGGTGAACCTGCCACCCATTTTCAGTAAGAAAGTTGTTATCTTAAGCAGGTGGGCTCTTTGGACAGCTTCATTATAATACAAAAAAAAACCCACAAGAGGGAAGTGGGAAATGGGTCATTTGTCTTAGTGGTTTTCTTGTGCAAGTTGTTCAGGTTCAACCATTTTTCCATACAGTCTAGCATGCGAAAATTGTGTTGATAGGGGCGTTCAACCTATACCAGTTCACCATTTTTATAGCATGCAAATAATGAAATCTGTGGGATGCTGAAATCTTTTCATTTTTTATGAGCTTTGCTATGTACGTTTTAAATACAAAGAAATACATATACATGTAAAAAAATCAAATGTGGACCTGAAAATTGTGTTTGCTATGTATGTGTTTGGTATGTACGGGCTAGGATGTATTTACATCGGGTTGCGTTTCAATATTTCGCCTCATGCATGTTCGTACTCTGTCGGTATGGTGGTGTAGATAGATAGGTGTTTTATTCAGTGTTTAAGGCTATTGACCCACATCACATTAAACCAACATTTTTACGGAAGATACCTCTGTGAAAAAATCATAGATTACAAATGACATAATGTATCAATGTAAAGTAAATTTGTTCCCGCCTTCGATCCGGACATTGGGGATAACTTATTAGTGAAACAACTTATATATATATCAATACCATTTTAAAATAGTTTTGTGTTGTTTAACAGTTTCCATAATAAAATATTATAGGTTGTACATATATTTTTTCATGGCTTCATGGTCTAAACATTGTATGGGGGACTGAACAGTTTCTTTTGGTTGGCAAAGTTTGAACTAAAAAGTAAAAAGGAAGTGAAATTTATCTTCAATTTCATGAGCCTTACACATTTCACATTACAGTGAATTCCTTCTTTTCCAGCAGTAAAGATGATTATTCAATGGCAGGCTAGGAGTGTTTGTCAAAGCTGTGACTTTTCTTTAGTACACACTGTGTGTGTGGTCTGTGGTGTCGGTGGCCTAGTGGTTAGGCTACCGAACTCGTAATCGTGAAGTTGCGGGGTCGGGGGTTCGAGCCGCGGCCCCGGCATTGTGTCCTTGAGAAAGGCACTTTACACAAATTTTCCTCACTTCACCCAGGTGAGAATGGGTACCTGGCCATAGACAATGAAAGATCTTGTCAGTGTGCTAGTGTTTTAGCGCCTATAAATGTATGCTTCCCAGGAAGTTGAGGTTGTTTCAGAATGCTCTCAGGTCTGCTGGGGTAATAGTATAGATTGTGAAGCACATAGAGCTTGCTGTTGAGCGGGGATTTGCGC